ATATCAAATATAGTATTTAAAAATGGTCTAAAATAGTTTACAGTCGTTTATTATTTTTTATTTTTTTTTGCATGTTAAATTGCTTAGAATTCTATATACCAGTTTTAAGATTCACATGTTCTTGTGATGTTTTTCAGGAGCATTGGTGTCATTACCTACATTCTGTAAGTAATCTTCCATTGTTATTAATCATATGATAACACTCCTGACAGTCAAATCCTTTAAGAATCAGTCTGCAACCCAAAGTGCTGCTCCAAATATTCAGATTTTAACTAGGACTTAAATTACCTCTGAAATAAAGCCTCCCCGTTTGACAAGCAATGTGCTTTTTCAGGTTTATATTTATATAGGTCAGGTCCTGTGGGATGAGATCAGTCATGTCAGAAATGAAGTACACCAGATATGGAGTAGATAACCAACAGACTGACTAGTAATAGCCTTTATCTTCACACAGGGATAAAGCAGTTAATCTTAATGGTGGTGTGCATATTTTTTAAATGCTAACATATTTTTTTGTATCCTAGATTACTGTGAAGAGATATTGCAGTAAAAATATATGTAGAAACTCTTGTATTTTATTTTTTTATATTATTTCTTATTCATGTATATTTATGCCATCAGTTTGAGCGGTCTGTCACCGTTCCAAGGCGAGACGGATGAAGAGACGCTGAGGAACATCATGGCAATGAACTATGAGTTTGAGCCTCACTACTTCAGCCAAACCAGCAACATGGCTAAAGATTTCATCCAGAAACTACTAGTTAAAGACCAGAGGTAGCAATAATCAGATTAATTATATTAGAATAATTGGGATTATAAATTGGTTTTGAGTAGGCGAAAGTTTCCCAAAACATTTAAAAAGAATATTTATTCATTCTTTTGTTTATACATTTTAATGTATTAATACACTTTTTAAAAATATATTTTCTTCAAAGATTGAAAGATTCCCCGATTGCTCTGCTTTGAGGGAATAATATAAACTGTATTTCAGATTCAAGCTGCTATTTTAATTTGATCTTTAACGGTCTAATCTAACTTTTGCCTAATGAATAATTTATAAGGGTTAAATATTTGTATACTGCTTTTGTGCGTTTGTATTTAGTGAAAGAATGACGGCAGAAGAGTGTCTCGTTCACCCCTGGATTAAGGTGAGATGCGTGAACTCACCCGTTTCCTCATATTACATTTTATGACGTAATTATTTTTCATTTTACCTTGATCATTTCAGTAACTGTTTTCCACATCCATTTCTCTTTTAGCCTCTCAATAGAACTCAAATAGCCAAGAGGAACCGCTCCTCCATCAACATGAAGAACTTTAAGAAGTTCAACGCGAGGAGGAAATGGAAGGTTGGTCAGAGAAACCTGCTATTGGCTGGAGTGTGTAGACTGTCGTTACCCACAGACCAACTTTTTCTGTCACTACCTGTGTGTCTCACTGCATACTTTGTCTTTTATGTATTTTTGTCTCCCTCAGTCATTCTCTGTCCCTCCTATAGTATTAATGAACATCTAGTTTTGCTGTTTCTGTCATATCGGCCTCTCATTTCTGCATTCAGTGCCTTTTTACATTTAATCGGCAGCAGTTTTGATATAATGTGATGATACAAGCTCTTCACTGTCTCTTAGAGGGATAGTTCACCCAAAAATCTGTTATTTATTCCTTTGCAAGAATTTGAACATAGATTTTTTTTTTTTCATGTTTCCAAGTTGTGACACAGGACTCTAAAAAAAAGCAACACAAATGACTAAACTGTTCCTTTAAGTGTCTGAACCGGTTGCTAACACTACCTTAGCTGACTCAAATGACTCACTTCTCTAAACTAACAGACCTATGAGTAAAGAGAGACACCTGCTGTTCAGTAGAAACACTGAGTCATTATTACTCTGTTATTACAATTACATTATTACAATTTACTCTGTCATGATGCCCTTTTGTTGCTCTTTTTCTGTCTGGATTGTGATTAATATTTTGTACAGATAGGCTGTAATATTTCTTAACTAATTCCTAACTAGTTGTTTTTCTCACCACACAGATGTCCTTTAACATGGTTTCAGCTTGTAATCGGTTTTGTCGACTGCAGTTACTGTGTAAGGCCCACGGTCCGGAGCAACAAGAACTGGTAAGAATCTCTTGAAAAACACATAATGAGAAGTACATGGTAAAGGTGCTTAATTGTTATAAATAATGCAATGCTTCTTTACTTTCCCCTTTTTTTCCCAATCAGAGAGACTGTGAGAGCGATCAGGAGGACACCGGCACAAAACCTGCCTCTCTCTTACGCAGACGTCTTAGTAGCAGTTCATAAATCTGATCGGTAGAGGGAGTCACAAACCACAAGCATCTCCCTGTAATGAAGCAGCAGCGCTCATTCAACCTGCAGTACTTTGTACTGCCAACAGGGGCAGAAACAAGCCACAATCTTTCCCTATCCAAAGGCCTTGAACCTCAGTGCATGCAATTGCCCAACCACCAGCATCTTATCCAGTTACAGTGGATGACCACATCTGAAAGAGGGATGGGGCCAAGAGATCATTGTGGTTTTCAATGCTAATATGCAAGCGTGTTCATAGAGTTCTACCTCTGATAGAATGAGTGTGATGCTTCTACCTGAAGTGCTGTTGACAGGAGGGTCAGGTGTCTTGAAGGATGTTCCTACAACATTAAGTTTTCCTTAAACTAATAGGTTTTTTTTTTTCCAGATTTATTTCAGTGGGATATATACATGCTATATATACACTACTGTTCAAACGTTTGGGCAGGTTTTTTTCTTTTAAAGAAATGAATACTTTCATTCAGCAAGGATGCGTTAGACTGATCAAAAGTGATAGTAAAGACATTTATATTGTTACAAAAAAAATCAATTTCAAATAAATGCTATTCTTTCTACAAAAACAGTACACAACTGTTTTCAATATTGATGTTTAATGAGCAACAAATCAGCATATTAGAATGATTTCTGAAGGATCATGCACTGAAGACTGGAGAACTGGATGCTGAAAGATTAGAGAGATTAAAACATTTGACCAACCCCAAAGTTTTTGAACGGTAGTGTTTAAATATTTTATTCTAATATATTAAAGCCTCGTTTATACTCGGTACTAACATCTAGCTCAAATACATTTTAGCAGCTTGTAATAGGAGTTCAAAGGAAGGTCTCTGACAATATACATCACTTTGTCAGTTCAAAATGTTCAAATTTAAAATAAATAATAAAAAAAAATGCAGATTATTTAGAAATACACTGAGTAGGCAGTCTTTTTACATTACACTACAAATGCAACACGGTCACATGCATTTCTGACTACTGAATGTGGTTTGAGTGAACCGATCATGAAACATTTTGAACCCCATTCAGTACTGACAACTTGTGATTAAAACAGCCAAAACGGATCTTAAAACCAGGTGTAAATGGGGTCATAGTTTAATGTACTTCAAGAAAAACAAGCAAACCAAATTATAAGGGAGGACTTTTGGGCTGAGTGCCTTAAAATACATATTTTCTCAAAAACTTGATCTAGACCAATACATGTTCTGTCCTGAATTAGACTACCAGAGGCCAAACCTTATTCCCTTTATTGATACCATAGTGAGACTGAACCAGTTGCCTTTTTCCTGTATCGCTGAATAATAGTTGAAATATTAAAAGAGTGCGAGTTTAATATCTAGTAGGCATCTTCATTATGGTCATCTCTGAACAACAATGGTATTCATTTATGACAGATATATAAGGCTGTTATAAATCATTTTTGACATGTAAAGCAGTTAACAGTTTTACAACTTATTGACTTTCCTCATCGAGTTTAATCAACAGAGATTTCATGTGAAGAGCCACTTTGAATGTACTTGAATGGTGTCATGCAGTGTTGAGCTTTATGAAATGCTGCTTGAATTATTCTAGACAGTAATTGCCTTTACTTTCAGAGTCTCAAGAAACTATATTAAGTTAAACTAGTCTTTTTCAAAGGATACTGGTCTTCCTTGTAGATTTAAAATCACTGTTTAGTTTGAGAAGTCTTCCATTATCCAGACATTACAACATCTTACCCTCTTACACTCTTGCCTATAGAACTTGTAATGTGAATATCGCACAAATTAATATTATATATTGTTGTCATGATATATTTTGTGTACCATACCTGACTTGCAAGAATGTTGCTGTGTCTTCTGTTATGTAACATTTGCCTGAGGGTTGTAATTCCTGTAATATTATGTAGGCCTAAAATCACAATTTAATGTATCAAATATGTCAACAGACCACTGTTTGTATCAGTACCATTTTTTGTTGTTGGTTTTTTATGTTTATTTATGTTTTTAAATGCAGCATGTCAGATTAGTGAGTGAGATTTCTTCTGAACGAGTCTTTGTATCGAGTTTTCTTATGCAGCATTTGTGTGTCTCATTTGCGTCTGTGTATTTGTGAACAATTATTTGGTGTGTGTTTTTTTTTTATATATAATTTGATACTATTGTCTTAGTTATGAAAAAAATTAAGCAATTTAGTGCATGCGGTTTTTCCTATACAATTTGTTAGTTTAATGTGTGTCCTTGGTTTGTTTGATACTGCTTGGTGTAAATTAAAAGCAGTTTGTCCTTTAATATGTCTGATCAATTTTCTTTTAACACATCACATTTTGGTTTACAATCATCATGGAAAGCCTGGAAATGTCAGGGAATTTCAAAAGTGTGATGTCCAGAGCAGGAAAATCAACTGACAAAATAACAAAAACAACAATAATAAACGTATGTAGCTCTTCACAATTGTTTGAAAAAGTCAGGAAAATTAATTGGTCAAACAGTGTATGAACCCTGACATAAGCTCGATTACTGACCAATTATTAGATAGATATTCTTTATTAACCCCATTAGCAAGAACTAATTTTCCTTCACTGTCTTAAACACACACGTGGAATGTGTTGTCTAAATGATATGGCCATAAATGCAGTCCCACAGAAGAACACCTGGGCCTGTGGTGTCGTCGGCAATGTGGGCGTGGCGACGGCGCTGGTCAGAGCAGAGGCCGCGAGAGCGAGCGCAGTAATTCCCGGAGAACGAGCGCATGATGATGTACTTTACCGGAGTTTGTCCGGTAATGTCATGAGTGAAAACGTCTCGGAAACCATCTGGTCTACGCCGCTCAGATAAGATGAAGAGGATTTTAAATGTTTTTGAAGACAAAGTAAACCTCGAGGAGCGTCTGTCTGGATGAAATTGACAGAAAGACGTTAGGATCGAATATAAACAGAACATCACAGCGGACAGGTAAGTTACTAAAAGTTATTACACACTGTTTTTATTAAGTGGGAACACACATTGAGATTGTATGGGATATGAAAAGAAATGAAGGGAAAAAGAAAGATGTTAGGCCTATCTAACACCGTTAAGTCTTTTAACAAGTGCCATTACTTGTTCAACGACTTTCTAAGGTCATTAAACGGACAAGAAAATGTACATTTCCTGCATTATACAGTGTTTTTTTTTTTAAAAGAGTCATTAAAAAATTCAAAATATTAAAATGTTTAATCATCCCTTATGTTGTTAAATACTTAATTGTGCGTGTTCGTGTGTGTGCGTTACCGGTTCTGTATTCATTCTGTAAACAAAGACAGCAGTTAAGAGTAAAGAAAAGGATTAAGGGCAGGAAATGCTATTTGGATGTTGAGAATGTGTAACTGAGTGTGCGAGAGAAAGCTCTTTGTGTCTGGCCCTATATCTGTAATCTCCAGGGGCCTCTGTGCTACCTGAGACCTTTGTGAGGGCCTGCTGGTTTTCTTACCTATGGAGTTCTGTTTAAAAACATGACTTCATGGAGAGAGAATGAGCAAAGAGGATAGAACCAGGGAAAGCAGAGGTTAGGGGTGAAACTGGCCCAGAAAAGATCATACTAAGTAGGATCTGGATCTTTTTGCAGTGGAGATGGGGAAAGTGACAGATGAATGTGGGTCAAAGGCGTTAAGATGTCCGCATCAAAATAAATTTACAAAAGTGATTTTATGTCCATAGAAAGCACATTAAATGTAAGTAAAGTGTCTACTTTTAAGGTTTCAAATAAGTTTTTGGAGAATAAAATGTTAAAATTTGGTTGAAATAATGTTACATTGTCATCCAGTGTAACACAATATTTATGTAAAAATTCAAACAACATACTTATTCTGACTTGTACATATTAAAATATATAAAAGAATAAGGGAGCATCTTACATTTTATTGTGTTTTAAATGAGTAAAAAATTCTTACTGACAAATGGGCAAAACCTAGCATAGTGGCAAATTTTTAAAATGTTTTTGTTGTAAATATGCCTGACAAGAATGTTTCACTGAATGACATTTTAGGGGGTGTCTTCTGTAAATCAGGGAAAAATGTATGATATTTATTTTTTGCTCGGAAAAAACAAAAACAAAATTGCAATTAAATTAAACCGAAAGCTTTTAAATTTTTTTTGGGAAAAACAACAACAATTTAAAGCAGTATTACACTTACTGTTTTTATGCTTAAACCCTTTTTCGTCTTTGACCCATGTATAACATCAAAGAGACAAACATGGGTCTGTTTATATAGCATTAAATAATACATAGGAATCTTAAATGAGTGTTCATATATAGCCTATAAAATACTAAATTATTTTTTGATAAATGTTATTTATATTGTAATAATTAATTTAAATATTTGTATTTATTAAAATTATTTATTTTTACAGTTTACTATTATTATTATTATTTATTTTTAATAAATAAATAAAAATACTGATACTGACCTATAGATAGCAATGAAATGGCATATATGGCAATAACAAAATAGGAAAACATTAAACAGAGGTCAGCGATCCCAGTGAATGTGTGTGGCCTGAGTCTGAAGTGTGTTGACGGCACAGTTGTTGTTGTTAACTGCGTCATTACGTGGCGGGAAGTACCATAGAAGTCAATGTGTCGTAAACAAGGAATATCTCATTATTTCATGCTGCAGATATGATGGGAATGCTTATAGGAACTTTCTAACTTTAAATCAGTTCCATTTCATTTTGCTGACCTAAAGATCAGACCTGAGATTGTCAGGAACAGTTGATCTGATTGCAAATGCATTGATTTCTTACAAAGAAGCTTTTGAAGCGAGGTCATTCCCTGCATTCAAGTGTCATTGCTTTTGATCTTTTGACCTTATAGAGTTTCTTGGTCTAATGATTTTACAATGATTTTTCAGATTATGTAAATATGATCTACTGTATATATTTGAGAACTTGAAGTGCTTTTCATCGGTTAATCTTGAGTTGATCAAAGTCTGCCGTAACAGGAAACCTCTTAACCTCGGCAAACAGAGATCTAGTCATTAGTAAGAGCTATTCAGCATGCTAAAGAGTTCTTTGTTAGTCAGAACCCCCCTCTGAGAATTCATGCGGCCTTCTTCACAGCGAATAAGAAAAGGAAGAGGGGATAAATAGAATTGGGGTGACAAACGGGAGGGGGTGGAGGGCATGTTTATAGTCACTTTGGTGACTGACAGCACACAAGGTGGTGAGGGGGGTAGACATCTTGGAAGTGAGAGGGCACAAGGAAAATGAAAGAAACAAGGTTCTTCTAAACTATTTTGCCCACTATTGTTTATATTAAAGATGTGTATTTAAAAGGATATAGTTTACCCAAAAATGAAAATTCTGTTATTTACTCAACCTCATGTCTTTCCAAAATTGTATGACTTCCTTTTTTCTGTGTAACACACAAGAAGATATTTTAAAGAATGTTGGTGACCAAACATCTTGATCCCATTGACTTTCATATAAACGAAACTAAACAAAACCTGAAACTGCTTGATTACCAACATTCTTCATATCTTTTGTATTCCACGGAAGAAAGAAAGTCATATGGGTTTGGAATGACATGAGGGTTAGTTTTTTTATTTTTGGCTGGACTATCCCTTTAATTAATACTTTCTTTAATATAAACAATAGAGGTTTGCAATGACACGAGGGTGAATAAATGATGAGAGAAATGTAATTTTTGGGTGGACTATCCCTTTAAAATAGAGCAGTGTGAACATTCTTAAAAACATATTTCTTTCACAATAAAAAAAGTCATACAGGTTTAAAACAAAATGAGTGAGTACAAATTTGCAGTTTGAATTTTCCTGGTGAACTGTCACTTTAAATTGTAAGGTGCATTGGCTTCTTTGATGGCCCAGATCACAAAATGAGTTCTGCAGTACAATTCAGAGGCTCCACTGAAATGTCAAAAGTGCATTTGCCTCTGTTTTGGATGCTAATCCAGTTGTTAATGGTGACAGCTATCGGGTGAGTCATGAACTGAATGCAGTGTGCCAGTGATGCACCTGCAATCACCACACACACTAACACATGCGAATGTATACACACTCGCACGCAGCTGCCGACCTGTAGTTCACCCTGACTCATTGTACACTGTACTTTCTCCTATTGTCCGGCATGTTTGCTCTTTGGGAGTGGGACCCGGTGTGAACATGACATCAGTAGATTATGAAAGAAGGGAGGGGAATATCAAAACATAGGCTGTAAGAAAATCACAGGACATTTAAAAGAAAGCTTGGAAAGAAAGTTGCTGCCTTTCAGCCATCACAACAAAATGTTGCGTGATTCTTAGAGAGTAATGAACAATACATGCTTTGTTTTATTAGATGCAGGTTTTATTTTGCATGTAGGTTTCTTACTTTTGAACTTAAGGTCATTTGTCAACAATACTACTAACATGAAATAATGTATCTTCTTCTAATAATAATAATTATTATTATTTTTATTATGTCTTTTTACAGATTTATTTTTGCCATTTTATGCCTTTATTTCGATAGGATAGTATAATGACAGGAAGCAAAATGGGAGTGAGAGAGGGGGGACGGGATTGGTAAAGGTCCACAAGCTGGGACTCGAACTCGGGACGCCCGAAGCGCAACAGCGCTACATGTCAGCGCTGCCTACAAGGCTATCGGTGCCAACTATTTTTAAATAAATTAAACATAATGAAGTGATAATGAAGTAACTTAAAATGAAAATATAGTATAATACTGCAAAATTGCTTTGAAACAATCTAAATATAAATAAAGTGACTTGAGAGATATTATACACTCTTATTCAAATGTTTGGGGTCCGAGATGGTAAAATATTTTTAAAAATGTTTTTAAAAAGTCTCTCATAGTCATACAAGGCTGCATTAAATCAAAATTGCAGTAAATATTGTGAAATAAATTATTAAATTTATATTAAACAAATTCTAAGAGTTATTTCATGTAATTTATTTTTGTGATGGCAAAGCTCAATTTTCAGCAGCCATTACTCCAGTCTTCAGTGTCACATGATCCTTCAGAAATCATTCTAATATTTATAAGAAACATTTTTATTATCAATGGTGAAAACAGTTGTGCTGCTTGCTTAATATTTTTGAGCAAACTGTGATAATTTTGTTCAGGATAATTTTTGTGTTTTTTTATCAAATTAAAGCATCCTTTCTGAATAAGTTAATTTCTTAAAAAATGTAATCTTATAATAAAAAAAATCTTATAATAAAAAATTGTATAATATAGCCAACTGTTTTTGTCGTCAAATCCCCACAGCCCTAATTACATCTAAATTTATAATGGTTAGCAATATAAGATAAAAGCATTCAACCAGTGCCGCAACGTGGGCATGACCAGTGGTAATTGAGGCAGACTATTTGTTTATTTGACCAATTGCAGATGGACTAAAGTGTTCAGGAAACCTGACTGAAAACAGCCATTATTCTTTCAGCCATGCCATTGCAGTGTTAGCAGTGCAGAAATCACACACGCCACCTTTAAAGACATCAGATAAGTTCAATAAAAATCCACCGTCCACTTCCACGCCTCTGTTGAGCAATGAATCAGGAGGTAATTTGATCTATCCATTGTTTGGGGCTAGACTCTAAAGCAGGGTTGTCCAAACTCGGTCCTGGAGGGCCGGTGTCCTGCAGAGTTTAGCTCCAACTTGCCTCAACACACCTGACTGGAAGTTTCTATGCCTAGTAAGAGCTTGATTAGCTGGTTCAGGTGTGTTTAATTAGGGTTGGAGCTAAACTCTGCAGGACGCCGGCCCTCCAGGACCGAGTTTGGACAGCCCTGCTCTAAAGTTAGGGCGGAGATAGAGAGAGTAGGTGCAAGAGGGGTGAATGTATGCAAGAAAGAGTACATGTATCAGCGAGAGGACTGGAAAAGAGGCCCAGGAGCGGTGGAGGAGTGAAACACTAAGAAGGAGGGGTCGGAGGGTGTATAAAAGACAGAAAGTTGCTGTTCTCGTGTGTCTGGTGGAAAAAAGCGCTGACTGCCTTCATGGTGACATAATGTGATTATGGTATTATCAGTAATCTTGTGATGATCTTGTGGAATTTTAAAAGGTATGACATCTGTGTCGAGCAGATGTACACAGAGTCCAAAATAATACCACACCTGCCAACGGTGAAAATTTAGCAGCCAAAATATCAAAACCATTATTTCCATTATTTGTATTAATAAATGTGTATTTGTTCCTATGACAAATGTAATTATACAGTGATTTTGTCTTTGCATATTTGTGACCCTGGACCACAAAACCAGTCATATGGGTAAATTTTTCGAAATTGAGATTTATACATCATCTGAAAGCTGAATAAATAAGCTTTCCATTAATACAGTAGGACATAGGACAATATTTGGCCGAGATACATCTGGAACTTGAAAATCTGGAACTTGAGGGTGCAAAAAAAAATCAAAATATTGAGAAAATCGCCTTTAAAGTTGTCCAAATGAAGTTCTTAGCAATGCATATTACTAATCAAAAATTAAGTTTTGATATATTTACGGTAGGAAATTTACAAAATATTTTCATGGAACATGATCTTTACTTAATGTCCTAATGATTTTTGGATTAAAAGAAAAATCGATAATTTTGACCCATACAATGTATTTTTGGCTATTGCTAAAAATATACTCAAGCGACTTAAGACTGGTTTTGTGGTCCAGGGTCACATTTGTGACTCGTGTTCTGGAGAAAAAAAACTTTAGGCATTCTGGATAAACCAGATTTTCCACTAACATTTTCATCTGTTGTCTTGAATCAGATCTTTTGAATCAGATCACATGTTTCATTCAATGAATCAGTTGATCCATTTCACAAAATACAAATGATTTGTTCATGAATCGACTTGATTTGGTTCATGAGTTGAACTTATTGACTCAGTGTTCCAGTTTTAGTGGAACTGCCCAGAAGATTGTCAGTAAATTATGACTTTAATATAGTCCACAAGTTGTATGGACCACTTTTAAGATCCTTTTATAGTGCTTTTGTTTCCTTTTTGAAGTTTGGGACATACAGCCCTTTGATTTAGTACAACATGAGTTTAAATAAATGACAGGATGTCTTTTTTAAAAAATGGCATAAGACAATAGAAACATACTGTGTTTAAGAACAAAAATTCATGTATGATAAGCATTATATACAGCGCAATGACAGTTTTGTTGTTAGGAAACAAAACAATGAACTTTGACCTCTTCGATCGCTACAGTCGCAACCTCTACATTCTCCATTACACAATCCGTTCACGTTCTCTCATTGTACATGCTTGCACACAAAGGTGTGGAACAGGTGGGAACAGCCTAATCTCGGCCTGTTGGCAGACTGTGTCTTTGTGACGTGTGCATTCATGGACAAATTATTTGCAGAGCATTACTCACATTTAATGTTTGCTGCAAACAGGAATACTAGAAAGAGACAGAAGCCATTTTACTTGAGAGGAAATGGTTTTATATGTGTGCTTCACAATGCATTTCTATTAGAATAGGAATAAAGAAAAGGATGGAAGTGGAACCACTCCAGACGATTTCAAAACAGTGTTATGTAATAAGCGATAACCATAGAGACCGAGGGGAAGAAAGGAAGAGGGAGGTAAAATGAGAGCTAAACGGACTCTTGGAGTGAAAACATTCACTAAAGCTGTTCCCAGCCCATCACTAACTTTCCATAAACTCCCTGTAACACTGAGGTTGCGACACACTTTTTTATGAATTGTGAAATTGCCTAGTTTTTATGATGGGATGAATTCTCTCATGTGCTGGACTTTTATTGCAGTTGTAAACTGAATTGGGATATTATATCAGATAACAGGCTTATTTACACTGCAAAAAAAGTTGTTACATATGCTAGAAATACTGGTAACATTTAATTAACTGGTTTTATGAAAGTCAAAAATATTTTATATGACTGAATAACCTGACTATGTTAGGTTACACCAATAATAGTTATTTTTAAGGGTCACATCAAGTTAGATAAGCACCTTATGGCAAAAACGGACTTTCATCTGGAAAGATTTTCATCTGGCAGATGATAAACACACCAGATAAAACTGCATAGAGTTACACTGTATGAGAGACCTGAGTCATATCTAGTGACTTGAGGGTGGGCTCCTTTGACTTTTTGCTTGAAAGCAGCCACCTAGCATCCAGCGCACCTTAGAAACCGGATAACAATGTGGTAAAAACTAATCTGCAAACCTTAGCAACCATATAATGCACTGGTATCAGTGTTGGGGAAGCTACTTTGAAACTGAAAAGTTATTCATAATTTGAAGTAGTCATGCTACAGTTTTAAAAACACTACAAATAAAAAAGTAGTACATTAAAGTAATTGAGCAATATACATATTTTTAGAAGTAAAAAATAAACTATCAAATGACTTAATCAACCAACCTGTGTTTTTGGTTACAGCACCATTCCTTGGGCATTTACGATGTGTGTATAAAATCAGATAATTAGTTTATCCAACTTTATACACATACTTACAGTATACTTGCGTAAAGTGATATATGCTATTTAGAAAATATCAGCTATAAACTATATTATCGCCCAGCTCGAAACTGCTAAATGTGGCTATAAAGCATTAAAGGGATAGTTCACCCAAAAATGAGTTTCTTTCTTCTGTTGAACACAAAAGATGATATTTTGAACAATGTGAGCAACTGTTATGGGGCTGACAAGACGTGAGACGTGCGGATCCATATGCAAGCTTTATTAACATCAGAGGAGGTCAGAAACACAGGCAGGGTCGAACAGTGGCAAACAGGTATATGGCGGGCAAGACACAAGAATAGTCCTAGGGACTTGACCAGACTCATGATAAACTGTGACTCGATTTGACTCATGACGATCAACTGTGTCTAGACTCGACTCAGATAGATCAACTGTGACTAGACTTGACTCAGGAAGATCAACTGTGACTAGACTGGGTGACCTCTGGTGGTGATTGAACGGAAGTCCATGGACAGGATTCGTGACAGCAACCAAAAAGTTGACAGTAGCCGATGACTTACATAGTATTTTTTTCAATGGCTACCTTCATCTTTTTGGTTACCCACATTGTTCAAAATATCTTCTTTTGTTTAGACACTCAGCAGAAGAAAGAAACTTAACAGGTTTGGAACGATCCTTATGATATTATAAAGATTAACATCATGAGTTTGTGTAAAGCTGCTTTGAAACTATTTGTATTGTGAAAAGTGCTATACACATAATTTTGACTTTAGCCATGCTTTAGTGGTGGTTTGGATATGTAACAGATGTAATGGATATAACTTCTATTATGATTTTATTTTTTTAACCATTTACCCAAGCACATTTTTCAGAAATAGTAATGGCATATTTTGATCTGTAGGGGGAGCATTGAAGCTATAATCTGAGTATGGGCCCTGAGGAGCTGCCTGACCTTATGGACATGGTATGAATTTGTGCATATGTATGTCTGTCTGAGTAAAGAACCATATGTGTGCCAATTATGTGCCAATAATTTAGCATTATTTGTTTGTTCTCTAACTCATTACACCCAGATGTCGAGCACTCCTCCTCCGTCTCCTCGTCCTGTTTGTTCCTCATTCTCACCTCCTCACTGCTCTCCACCGGTCGTGACCTTACGCTCCCCTGCCACTCGTTACCTGACTCAGCTCGACCCCTGGAGGAGACACAGCTGGGAACCTGGAGCTGTGGCACAGGGATATCCACCCAATGACACACGCAGGTAAAAAACACATTTACCCCAGTGACACTTTAGAATGGTCCAAGTGTGCTCTACCTTAATTTTTTTTTTTAACCTGGAAATTGTGACTAATTTGGCTTTATCTATACTGTATTATGTGCTATATTTCATTATTTAACATTAACTTTCTATTTTTATATATTTTAAAGTTATTTTTTTTCTGTGATGGCAGAGCTGAATTTGCAGCAGTCTTCAGTGTTGCATGATCCTTCAGAAATAATTCTAATATACTGATTTGTTGCTCAAGTAACATTTCACATTATTATCAATGTTGAAAACAGTTGTGCTGCTTGATATTTTTGTGGAAAACAAAATGCATTTTTTGGATTTTTAATGAATAGAAAGAACAGCATTTATTTGAAATCCAAATCTTTTGTAAAATTATAAATATATTTACTTTTTTTAACAGTTCAATGCATTCTTGCTGAGTTAAAGTATTAATTTCTTCAAAAACAAAATCTTATTGACCCCAAACTTTAAAATTGTGTAATATAATTGTTTTTGTCAGCAAACCCACACAACCTAAATTATGTACTCACTGAAATTAATAGTTAACCCTGCAAAATATGATTTTTACAACATATTTTGTTATATATTTTTCTTACCCTTATTGTATTTAAATGATTATATGAAGTGAAGTGACGTGACATGTGGCCAAGTATGGTGACTCATACTCTGAATTAGTGCTCTGCATTTATCCCATCCAAAGTGCACACACACAGCAGTGAACACACACACCCGGAGCAGTGGGCAGCCATTTATGCTGCGGCGCCCAGCAGTTGGGGGTTCGGTGCCTTGCTCAAGGGCACCTCAGTCTATATATATATTCTTATTCAATGTTGTGCCTTATAACTCTTTCTCTCTCACACATGGCTGTCCTGATATAGGGCCTCTACTGTGTCACTCTGTGGACTATTATTGTGAGATCACCACCAGCCAGTGCCAATGTACTCAGTGAGGAGACAGAGACACACACAGATAGATAAGAACACACAGACATACATAGGTCTGTCCAGTAAGGATCTAACATTACACTTCAGCTCATTTTCAGGTTAGCTTTAAAGAAGTCAACTTAAAGTCATCCAAAGGAAGAGGAAAGAGTAAGATTTAAGTTTTTAAATCTATAATGTTATGAGTTTGTATATATTTGTGTTTACATAAGTGTAGGTTTGTTTATGTTGCTGCAGATGTCCTGTGGAACTTATAATTTCTGGTACTTTGTAATGATAGTCATCAGACAACAGGTTATGCAGTAACAATGTATGTGAATTTAATGTTCATTCTCTCTCTTCTTAGTGTGAGTCTTGAAGATCTGAACCCGGATGAGATGTCCTTAGTGCTAAACAGTGCATGGAGGTCAAAAAGAGCCCGAGAAGCCCGCAGGTCTGTCACTCAAGCTTCCCTGACGTCACTTACTGAGGAGGAAGTTGGAGCAGAGCATCAGGAACATCATCGATCAGCGCTGGAGGTTAGAACACGCACACAGAGCTTCCCGTTTTATTCTAGTTTTTGTTTTACTTTGTCTTGTATTTTTTGTTGCAGTAGTTTTTGGGATGCACTAGTTGCATCGGAAATGCACTATATATAAATGAACTATTGAAATTTGAACCATTTTAATTTAAAACTATATATATATATGTAAACAAAAACTTTTATTTTGGATGCGATTAATCATGATTAATCGTTTGACCGCAATAACCGCACTAACTGACGTCACTTACTGAGGAGGAAGTTGGAGCAGAGCATCAGGAACATCATCGATCAGCGCTGGAGGTTAGAACACGCACACAGAGCTTCTGTGAGCTGCATTACTATGTACTGTATACTTATAGTTAGTAGCCACCTTTAAAGCCTCCTAAGATCAAGATGGAGCAGCAAGTTAATTCACTGATCATGGATCAACAACAAAATGAAGAGTTTCAGCTTCTATTTTTGTACCTTATTCAATGGAAATGTGAAATGCACTTTATGTTCAGCAGAATAACTACCTATGCAAACCGCACAATATTGAACGTTCAATTACAGTGGATTCCAAAAAATGTAGACACAATTTTATTCTTAAATTCTACAATGGTGCATTAAATTGATCAAAAGTGGCAATTTTTTGTAACAATGTAACAGTCTTTTCAAATAATTTCAAATAAATTTGAATGGTTTTCACGGCCAGAAAAAAAGTATCATCATTTTAAAACTATCAAGTAAAAATATTTTATTAAAACTATTATACAAAACTATTATGCAGAAACAACTGTTTTCAACATTGATAATAAGAAGAAATGGATTTTTGATTTCTGAAGGATCATGTGACACTGAAGACTGGAGTGTAATGGCTGACGTAAAATTCAGCTTCACAGCCATCACAGAAATAAATGACTAATTATTGTTAATAATAATAAAAATATATTAAAATAGGAAAGCTATATTGTAATCATACAGCTGTTTTTAACTGTATTTCTGTACTTCTTTCAAAAACATACTGACCCCAAACTTTTGAACAGTTGTGTATATGAAATATTTTAGTTTTAATTAGATAACTGCTTTGTAAATTTCTCCCTCAGGAGCAGTCCAATCAGATGCATGGCTGCAGCGTCTCCGCCCCCAGCCTGTGTATGATGCAGCAGATGCCTAGAAGCTCCGCTCCTCGCCCACGCTCCTACTGCCATGGTCAGTTGAGTGTGTTTGGGGTTTCCAGCTTGTTCACAAATTAATTCAAATGAAACCATTCATTTATATTTCCTATGTGGTTCTTTCCCTCACTTTTTTATGTTATTTTTATTATACAGTTTTCCCCCTAAAAATAAGTGTTCAAATATTTTATGTCCACTATGTTTCTGACTCTTTATTTATGACTCTGAAACTGAAACCGATATTAAGAAGACGGCATTACGTCATGTGCAATCCAAGTTCTATTTCCTCAAATCAATGAGAACATTTTTCTTGTCTTGTTCGGTGTGATCTAGAGAGTTTTTCGTACCACCAGATTGGAGGATCATTTCACAGGTGTGTGTCTCAGTCCTGGCTTGTTTTAATCATAAATATCCTAACATATTCAATTGTAAATATACATACTTTTAATTTCTGATACAGTATAGACAGCGAGTTTGCTGCTCCGGGCTGGGACATAGATAGAGGGCAAATAAAGGCTGAGGGGCATGAAAACAAAGAGGACGCCTCAGGAAATCGCCTGGAGCGAACACTGAGCTTCCTGCGCAAGATGACTGCTAAAAGCAAGGTAGGGGCCCAGCTTCCTGTCCACTCCTGTGCTTACTGTGTCAAAAGGCAAACCTACGTTGATGACCAGTATCATTTCTGGTTAGCTGTTATTTTAATCTGTCATCAGAAGTGAAGTGTTACCAGTTGCATATGACATATTGCTCATTTTAGTTCAGGAGAGAGGGGGCAGTGTAGTGAAACTGGACAATAGTCCCATTCCAGTCCAACAGAGGGCAGAGTGAGACAATCCTGCTGAACAGGCAACTGGATAATTAAACAAAAACACTGTCTCCCTCCTCCACTTGTTCTCTGTAAAATTTCAGTTTCTGCCATTATTATTAGTTCCCAAGCTAATAATACTCACTCTATACTATACTATATCATTAAGCTGCCAGCTGAAATTCCACAGCTTGGTTTGTGCTGAGAATCAGATTCCAGCTTGTCATGAATCATAGGAGCCTGGCAAACACTGACTCACTTAGTAGTCAGCTAAAATTTCTCAGAAAGTGCCACAGAGTCTGCAGGTTTGACATCTTATCAAAACCATAATAATTTCTTTTATTAAATTCAGAAAGGTTCCAGCAGGTTCATACCTTTTTGTGTTTGAGAGACAGCCTTTCTACTGTAGAACACAAAAGATATTTTGAAGAATGTTGGTAACAGTTTTGGTTAACACTGACTTCCATTATATGGACAAAAAGGCAGAGACATTTCTCAAAATATTGTCTTTTATGTTCCACAAAATTTTTTGGGTGAACTATCCCTTCAGGTTTCAATTAATTGACATGATCTATGGGCTGGTTTAAGAAACACTCACTGAACCATCAGAAAGTACTGTGCAACATTAGTTAACATGATCTTGGGAGAGTGAGATGCAATATTATTGTGAAACCCATATGACAGAATGAATAAAGCCCCTTTTGTAGTTGTTTTAAGGATGGATGGCAATCAGAATACTGTCTTTGACCCAGTTCACTACAATGACACATGAGGAAGCAGGATTTTATGGTCGAGTGATGACAGGTCTGAAGATGACATTGTTTTTGAGTCAGTATCGCAGTGCTTGTGAAACAAAGTCCTCGTTTATTCACATTAGTGTTAGTCATGTTCATGGACTGTCAAATCTTTACAAGTCTGTTTCAAAGTAAAAAAATAAAAAAGTAATTATGAGAATGTTAACTTAGAATTTCTAAAAGATTTGAATTTGTTTTTAACTACATTACCATTCAAAAGTAAGTTTTTTTTTTTTTTCATTTATTTGAACAAAAATATAGTTATAACAGTAATATTATTATTATTATTACAATTTAAAATAATTGTATAAAAAAGTATATAAAAAGCTGAATTTTCAGTAGCCATTACTTCAGTCTTCAGCGTCACATGACCCTTCAAAAATCATTCTAATATACTGATTTGCTGCTCAAGAAACATTTTTGATTATCAAAGTTGAAAACCGTTGCGCTGCTTAATAATGTATGTTTATTTTTTTTCATGATTCTATAATGGATAGAAGTTCAAAAGAACAGATTTTATTTGAAATATATTTTTTGGTAGTGTTTACTGTCACATTTGTTATATACACTATATACTGTCATTGTTCACTTATGTTACATTTTATATATATATATATAAAATGTAACATGTAATTTTATGTTTTCAATTTCCCATTGCAGACACATATAAAATATTAGCATTTTTATTCTTTGCAATTAGAGGAAATGAAGTCACAATTGTGGATGAAAGATGCAATTACCTTTTTTTATTATTAATTTATTTTTGCCCTGACAAGGAAATAGGCTTTCATGTAAACTTTCCCATGTGTCAGTACAAACCAATATAAACTTATAAGGTCAAGACTCGTCACATTTACTGAGTTATCATTTAAACTCTTATCATCACAGCTAAAGGTCTGTTGAATTGCAGGTCTTTCCATGACATCATGGCACTAAACATCACACGCGTGCTTTTTTAGATCTTAAGGGAGCTTCGACAGAATTGGCACTCGTGATTAGTCATCCACTTTAGGGAATAAGATTTTCATGCCAGTCCCGCAGGCTCCAACACAAACAGTCCAGCAAGAGATGGGAGGAGTTTTATGAGACAGCCTGTTTCTTTGTAAAGCAAGCTGAACCGTTTGCTTAAATAGCAACGTCTTGTTTTTAAATAATTTTTTTAACCACATTACCAGATTTATAGTACAGTCTACAGTTTTCTCTAAATACGTGTTATTAGTAACACACTTCTGTCTGAGGTTTTGTTTGTTAGACTTCCTTGGAAGCGCTTTCTGCTTTCCTCTCTCTCTCTCTCTCTCTCTCTCAGTTCCAGACGCTTACATGTGCGTACCCACACACAAACAATCACACACGGGTCCAGTCAGCTGTTTGAAGCCTGATCTGACCCCATACACACACAAGGAAGGAGCTTGTCAAAGGACAGACCACAGGCACAAACTCAAAGCAGCATGACCGGGTTTGTTTTTAACTCTGTCAGCCTTTAGGTATTAATTCTTTACTGTTGAGAGGGAACTTTTTGATTGTATTATTCAACATTTTTAGCTTTTAAAAGTGATTTTAAAATTTAAGATAAGGCTTCATCTTATTATTAAACTTATTAATTGTAGCGAAAGCTGTGCAGCAAATATAAATATGGTAATCATGTATAATAAAGCTCTTTCTTACTGAGTGGTACCACCACAGTGCAGGGGTGTGTGTGTGTGTGTGTGTGTGTGTGTGTCTGTGTGTGTGTGATGATGATGATGATGATGATTATTAACTGCAAAGTAAACAATCTGGCAGAGTCATCTCATCGTCTGGCCTGTTTCCTCCTCCCATGATCTTTAATTCTCAGCCGTCCCCTTTGTTTTCCTTGTATCCTTCAGTTGCTCTTTCTGTCCCGCCACTTATAAACTCCATACATTCTCTTTTCTGCACCCCTTTACATTTAGGTCTTAACAGATAAACATTAAGCATTACACATTACAATCTTCCTTTCTTACCACAGTGCCATAAAATGCATTTAATAAAGTGGGAATTACCCAGCGAGGGCAACGGACACCTGCTCTTGAAATATTACTGTCAGGATTTTTTACTGGCAGTCATTTTTCAACAACTGTGTCTCCCCTCACTGTTGGCCATTTGCTGCACTGCTTACTCCAAGCTGTTGGGAGACTCATAAAGCCACAAAGGGGCCCGTAGGGTGGAGCACGGGGCCTTTTTTGAGGTTATAAAGCCTTTGCACTGGTTTGGCAATCCCACTACAGGAGTAAACATCTGTGAAACATGTCAGCAGGAGCCCCTCCCACACCCCCGCTGACAGACTGGGATCTGGACTGTTTTGAAATGGAAAGGTAAAATGAGATTTTAAAATAAGGGTGCGAATATTAGGTAAAGCTGTCTCCTTTTTTATGTCTTCATTTATTGACGCAATTTTTTACATTAAAAATTTAATATATATATATATATATATATATATATGTTACACATATTATGTAGAGAATTTTTTTATTGACAGTGTGACAAGAACAACATATAACTTTCTAACTTCTATCTAATTGATGCTGCATCTCACTTAGCCAAAATTTGAAATACACTCATGAATACAAATGTGCACACACACATTCACCTTAAGGCATCACGCTGTGTTGTGTGACACAATCTGTGCTGAATGACAGGCCTCGTGGGCTTCAGCCTCCAGAACCTGGTCGTTATCTCTGCAAAAATACACAGACACACACAGTCCTCACTATAACTACTGGCATAAACACGCACAGAAAAACACATTTTCCCGTCTGCTGCAGAAAGCAGCTCTGAAGAGAGCCTCCTCTATGGAGTGGTAACCCACAGCAACGCTCTCTCTTTCTCTTTCATTCTTTCTTTCTATCCATCTATTTCAGTGTAGAGTCATGGCCACATCTAACACCCACTATCATTGTAACTACCAGCTTCAGTGTAATGCAAATGAATGCAAAATGCATACAACACATAAATGAGCTCTATTTCTAGATGTTTCTCTTAAAATAGGATGAAATTCTTAAATTACATTGAAAACAAATGCATGTATAAATGTATATTTGAGTTAATATTGAAATTTCTGGCACAATTTGAGACCTTGACATTTTACTCTAATTCTAATTTTATTTTAAAAAATTAATTTTATTCTGTTCTATTGAATAAACAGTTTAACTCTATTTGTCTTCCATAAAAATCGCTTCCGATGTATTATTATTTAAAAAAAATTTTCAAAAACATTTGAAAATAATTATGAAAAGGAAAAATATCAAAAGTTGCGGATTATTAAAAAAAATCAAAAAAGAAAAATATCAACAGTATGAATTTAAAATGGGATTTTATTTATTTTATTTTATTTTTTCCCAAATACATTGAAAGTCATTGTGAAAAGGCAAAAATAGCTGTATGTTAATATATGTTTTTCAAAAAATCTGAAAGTGATATAGAAAAGCAAAAAAAAATAGCAAGTTAGAGATAATGTAGAAAAAGTGAAAAAAGTGAGATATAACTTTAAAAAGTGAAATTGTATTTATTTATTTTACAAATACATTAAAAGTAATTGTGAAAGGGCAAAAATAGCTGCATTCAAACATAATTTATTTTTTATTTTCAAATACATTGAAAGTAATTATGAAAAAGAAAATATAGCAAAAGTTAGAGATGTAAATAAATGTGAAATATTGGGATATAATTTTAAAACATGAAATTTTATGTATGTATATGTGTGTATTTATGTATATATGTATGTATGTACGTATTTATTTATTTATTTAATTATTTTCTGAGATCAAATGAACGATGAATAACAAGATCAGTCAGTGTAGTCAGTGTACTTGTTGAACTGGCACTGATTATGAAGTGGCATCTCGCTTATTAGCATTTGCTAGCATAGCTTGCAGCAGACCGCTCCAGTAACATCAGCATTATCCGAGTACTGAGGCAGCCCTCCAATACTCACTGAAGACAGAGTATTCATCATTATTGATCTGGTCAGGAGTGCTGCAGGGGCTGA